GTAAACTGGTCTTTTAGAACCAAAATGTTCAGACTGCAGATCACAGTCCATTAATGGATCATAAAATTTGTTTAGGGAGTCTGTGATCTGCATTGTAGAACTGTGCTCCATAGGGTTTTCAGTGGTTGATTTTTCTGAAGGCGATTGCCAGACTTTTCTTCCGAGGTGCCTCTGGGTGGACTCAAACCTCTAAGCTTTCAGTTAGCGGCCAAGCATGTTAACCATTTACACCATTCAGGGACTCCGAAAATCGACTGGAGTAGAATATATCAGAGCTTATTGCACATAGCAAAAGTGTGTCTTGATTTTTGTCAGCTTTACAACTAGATATTTGGATGTTTGTTGGGTTGTGATGTAATATGTAATTTTTACGGTGATTAGTGGTCCAAACAATGTTGAAACTATTATTTTTTTAATCATCTTTGACTAAGCAAGGCCACGTTATCTTACCAGATTTGACCATTCTCAACCAAATAGCATGAGGTAAACAAATACACCTAAATAAGTAAAGCTCTAAAAAGTAGCCATTTTAGATTAGTTATGAATTTAGTCCTTATGTGGGTGTTCTGGTTTGATTTCTATTCTATTACATTTTCCAAAAGAATAGATTTGGTATAAAATAGGTTATTTTTTGATTTAATGTAATAGTGTGTCACCAGTTTCATTCTTTCATGAACCTTCTTCATTTTTGCCAAACCACCGAGCCACCTGTGTTTCTTTTTTTCCTTAAGTCAACTTAAATTTTAAATACTACACTATCCATGAACTTATGAATTTAAATATGGACTAGTTGTCTTTCTTCTAATGCACAATAAAATAAATATATAACTTTTAACATATAAAAGTATTCATCCCCATCCATGTGCCATCCAAAATAATCTCATTTGTTTCAATGGCCCATATACCACTGTTTAGGGAATGCTGGTGTTGAGAACATTCTTTTATGAATTTGTCCTTTCTCCTTCTTAGATGCCTTTGCTCTAACCAAGGTTCATATATCCATGAGAAGAGAAACAAGAACTGATAGTTATTAGGGAGAGAAGTTGCTCTTTAATTTTAAAGAACTCACCCCACCTTCCCTCCCTGAGACTTGTTTTCATAGATACTAGCATTTCTGAATTCACAGGCATCTTTGCCAAGGTTGCCTATACCTTGACCTAGCCAATTTTCTCCATCTGTTAGTAAACACCATCTTAGGAGAACTGTGGAGGGTGGAATGTTTGAAGACAAAGAACCACCCATATGTCATGGCACAGAATGGTGATAGGGCGTAGTAAGTGAGGGCTGTGCTCTTGGAGCCCAGTGGGCCAAGCATTGGCCAGATCCCAGCCTCACAGGGCCTCATGGAGGCTTGCTGAGACTTGAATGGAAACAGAGTTGAAAGGACTTTAGATAAATAGTCCATCCTCCTTTTTACAGTTGGGGCAACTGAGACACTGTGGGGCAAAATGACATGTATAGGATCACAACATTAGCTTGAGATTTGGCCTACCTACTCTCCCACACATCTGCAGTTTATCTATCTCAGAAGGCTGATATGGAAAGTCTCATGCTAGGAATCACAGAGCTCCAGCATTAGAAACATCTGCTTTCCAAAGAAAGAGAACAGGCCCCAAACAGCCGCTTCAGTCAAGATCTGAGATCACTGGTGTGATACCCTAGAAATGATGGATTTTGAGTCAAGTTGACCTAGACAAGACCAGCTCATGACCTGAAGACCCCGTCACCACTGTGGCGATTTCTCGCCATGTCATGAGCACCAAATATTTATGATCTGATTCTCAGATGCCCTGGTGCCCTCTAGCCCTACTCAGAAGACTTCTGCTCCAGAAAACAAATTTAGAATCATTTTGAAGTGCTACCTTTTTTAGCTGTAATAATATAATGAGTGGCCTTGAAATGTCCCCATGATTTCATAACCAGGGGAGCCCAGGCCAAGTGCCAAGTGGAAATTCTGAAGCTCTGAGTCCTGATCCTGTTTTTTTCCTGCATTTAGGCTGAAAGATTTTACTATAACCATAATGAATTATCACAAATCCTGTGTCTCTGTTCCCTTAAATGTAACCTGCAAATGTCAAAGCCTCCAACCAACAATTCAGAAACTATTCACTGAGTATTTCCTGTGTTTTGGCAGGTGTTAGGAGACAAAGATGAATTGGGGGCAGGGTGGGGGTGTCTCTGCCCTGGAGGGATTTACACTTGAGCAGAATAACAAACTGACCCATAGCAAAAGTTGTTGTTAGGTGCCGTCCAGTCGGTTCCAACTCATAGCGACCCTATGTACAACAGAACAAAACACTGCCTGGTCCTGTGTCATCTGCACAATCCTTGTTATGCTTGAGCCCATTGTTGAAGCCACTGTGTCATAGCAGAAGTATTACATGATAACTCAGGAGTCACCTCCTCCAGATCTGAGCCCACGTAAAGGGAAAGGCAGTTTCCCTAAGAGAAGTGGAACTCAGGGATTAGAGGGTCACTATTATTTCAACTGTAGAAGTCTTGGGGGTGCAGTGGTTAAGCGCTTGGCTTCTAACTGAAGGATCGGCAGTTCGAACCTACCAGTTGCTCCTCAGGAGAAAGATGTAGCAGTCTGCTTCCGCAAAGATTTACAGCCTTGGAAATCCTATGGGGCAGTTCTACCCTGTCCTGTAGTGTCCCTGTGAGTCAGGATCGACTAGACGGCAACAAGTATTGCTGCAGTCAGAGAACATCTCCGTGGTATATGCTGCTACCTTTCAAATGGCTGGATTGATTTGTGCCCCACTGTGGATGTCACTGGGTGGTGCAAATGGTTAACACACTCAGGTGCTAACCAAAAAGGCATCCAGTGGCACCTCAGAAGAAAGGCCTGGCGATCTGCTTCCAAAAAAGTAGTCACTGAAAACCCTATGGAGCACAGTTCTACTGTGACACACATGGGGTCGTCATGAGTCAAAACCGACTCAACGGCAGCCGGTCCTGCTAGTGGATGTCATGAATATAACTAAGCTAGTAGAAAAAGTGATTCCTGAAAAGATGTCGTTTAAGTGGCTGCTGTTTAAATTTGTTTTAAACAGAGGAGGTAGCTATGATGCAGTCCCAAAGAGCACTAGGTGAGGAGACCTGGATTCAAATCCCAGATCTCTCCATTTCTAGCTAGGTGATGTACAGTCAATCATTAACTTATCTGAGCCTGAGTTCCCTCACTTGTAGAAAGGGGCAGTAACCCTCTCTTAACAATGTGCCTAGCACTGTGCCTCCTGATGCCCAGAAGACCCTCGGTACACAGCGTCCAGCCCGTGGAGACCTTCTGCAAGTCGGGCAGTGTGGGTGGGTTCCAAAAGCCAGATCCTGTTTCCAAACCAGTCTCTGACTCTCCCCAGGAAAAGATCCAACAATGCCCCGTGCGTTCTGTTAGGGAGGATTGTCAAACACCCTCCCCTTCCAAACCCAAATCCCCAGTAAGTCAGGAAGATGTATGTGTTTTAAAACATTGGGAGGTCTGCTTTGGATCACCCCGGAGCTGTGGCTTCCCAAGCAGTCCGGAGCAGAGGAGAACGAAGGAAAGCAGCTCGTCTGTGGTGAGGCGCTCCCAGCACCGTCTTGGTGCCCCACACAGGGGCTGCCTTCTCTTGGTTTCAGCAGCCGTTGACTTTTAAATCATAAAAAGCCGCTCTATATACAGTTTACTCTGTTGCTAGAAGGCAGCGGAACATAGGTATTAAAAAAAGAGAGAGGGAGAGAGAGAACAGAAGAAGCATCCGTTAATCCCGGCAGGCTTCTGGGCACTGGAGCAGTTGTGGATGACAAAAGTTAATTAGAAACATGAGCAGCTTAACCAAAAACACTTGTGACAATTGGAAGGGCCGCCTCTCCGGTTGGAGAGTTTTTCCTGGGGAATCATTGTGGGAGAAAGTGGCTGCCACTAGGTAAGTAATGTCATTGTGACTTTGCAGACATGAGGCACGCTCTTGGGGCACTGACGTGCCACATCCTGTCTGTTGGGCACACAGGCATGGGGGCACGGGCAGGCACGGGCATGGCTCAGCTGTGATGTGTCTTCCCTGCCACTTTCTCGATCGAGCTCCCCTGACTTAGGAGGTAGGGCGGTGTCGTTCAGAGCGCCGTCCAAAGAAGGGGGCTGCTGTTTTGTTCCTGGGATACTGGTCGGCCTTGGTGGCGAAGTCCAGTTTGGAACTCATTATTCCCAGAGTAATTCTGGCTCTGCGTGGAAATATTTTGAGACTTTTCTGAGAAAAGAATGAGGCCAGGGAAACACTCCCTGAGCACCAAGGGGAAGCCTTGACTTTCAGATAACCTATGTGTTTCCTTGCCTACAGTGAAGCCATGTGCACGGATTATACTCTAAAACAGAAAAAGTTTTTTTTTTTTTTTTTTTTTTGAGTCTAGCCTGAATCATGTTTGTAACTCTTTTAAAGTGCTAATATAGGAAAAATATATGTTTGATAGGACTCAGCAACTTCTGTGGGTAATTATTCTTCTTGGAAGATTATACTTGGTTTCTCCTCTTTTCCTGTTTTCTTGTTTTGTTTTAATGTCTCTGCTATATGGTTTCCTTAGAGTTGGATAATTCTTGGTTCTTTTTCATCACTGGGAACCAGGGCTGTGGATTGAATAATTCAAAACAGTAGATATTTCCTACATCTTATTGGGCTTTGAGCCGTGCTGTGGTGGTGCAGGGGTTTCTTTGTTTATTTGCGTTTCCATAGATTTACATTCTTAATTGTGCTTGGGCATGTTAGTGTTAACATCAGCATGCATTTGTACAACACACACTAGGATATGGTGGGGTGTGTGTGAATGGTGTATGATGATAGCAAAGAAAGTCAAGCTAGGGTTTAAAATGTAACCAGGGGTAAGCCCCAAAGCGGGTAATGAGTGATAACAGCGTTTGGGTTGGGAAGACTGGCTCTTTAGTCGTGGGTAGGAGTACCTTCCTGCGTCTTCAGTGCAGGTCCACAGATGTGTTTCAAGTTTCCCTCTCTTCCCCATCTCTGCAGAGCCATTGGAAAGCCCAGCCTCCTCCCACCCCGGAATGAGCGAGAATGCACCTGCTGCTCTGGACAGCAGCGGCAGCCCCAGCCCCGCTAACTGCAGTGCCTCCTCGGCCATCCCCCAGCCCGGTGCGGCCTCCAAGCCCTGGCGCAGCAAGTCCCTCAGCGTGAAGCACAGTGCCACGTCTTCCATGCTCTCCATCAAGCAGCCCACGCCTGAGGCCCCTAGGCCCACCCCCGAAGCCATCAAGCCTGCCCCCAACAATCAGAAGTCCATGTTGGAAAAGCTAAAACTCTTCAACAGTAAAGGGGGCTCCAAGGCAGGTGAGGGCCCAGGGTCCCGGGACACAAGCTGTGAGCGGCTGGAGATCCTACCCAGCTTTGAAGAGAGCGAGGAGATGGAAGCTGCTGGCCGCGCCCTCCCCACCGCGGGCCCAGCGTCCAACAGCCCCAAGATCGCTCTCAAGGGGATTGCCCAGAGGACATTCAGCCGGGCACTGACGAACAAGAAGAGTTCCCCCAAAGGCAACGACAAAGACAAGGAGAAACAACAGCGGGAGAAGGAAAAGGAGAAAAGCAAGGACCTCACCAAGAGAGCTTCTGTGACGGAGAGGCCGGACCTCAAAGAGGAGCCGAAAGAAGACCCCAGCGGAGCAGCAGTGACTGAGATGCCAAAAAAGTCCTCCAAGATCGCCAGCTTCATACCCAAAGGGGGGAAGCTCAGCAGTGCCAAGAAGGAGGCCACAGCCCCTTCCCACAGTGGAATACCAAAACCAGGAATGAAGAGCATGCCTGGGAAATCCCCAAGTGCCCCCGCACCTTCCAAGGAAGGGGAGCGGAGTCGGAGTGGGAAGCCGAGCTCAGGGCTTCCCCAGCAGAAGCCCCAGCTAGACGGCAGACACTCCAGTTCCTCCTCCAGCCTGGCTTCCTCAGAAGGGAAGGGCCCAGGAGGGACCACCCTGAACCACAGCATCAGCAGCCAGACCATCAGTGGGTCCGTGGGGACCACTCAGACCACAGGAAGCAATACTGTCAGTGTTCAGCTACCTCAGCCCCAGCAGCAATACAACCATCCCAACACTGCCACGGTTGCACCTTTCCTGTACAGGTAGGAGTGGCCACTATCCTGCCCTTCTTGGGTCACTGAGCAAAAGAGCCTTTCTGGTGGATTCTAGGTCCTTTGAGGGAGGCAGAGATCAGGACTGCCCTGCAGGAACATTTAAACAAATAACTAAGGTACCATGTGATAAGCGACTAGTAGAAGTATTCGGGTATGCTTGAGGAAAGAATTAATACAGCACCGGTTGGGAGAGGGTTAGAGAAAGCTAAAGGGAGGGAGGAAAATTTGGGCTGACCCAGGATGAGTGGGAGTTCACCAGGCCCTTGGGGACGGAAGGGCATTTCAGCAGCATGGAGGCCTGAATGTGTAGAGTGTTTGGCATCACCCACCAGGCCCTAACCTCAGTCCTAATACATCCTAAGTGTATTTTTTTTTTTAAATTGCTGAATCACTGAGACTTTTTCTCATAGAAGTATTTGCCTTAAACTTTAGATCTTCAGTTTTTTTTTTTTTTTATATACATATATTGTTATGTGACCCTAATTGCTCTCTCCATACTGTGACAGCACACTCCTCCTTTCCACCCCTGATTCCCCATGTCCATTCA